CCTCAATACAAATTCTGCTGCAAGCTATATATAAATGTCAAGTACAGCTATTTAAAACGCAATTACAGGTTCCATATCTAATCGCTTTGTATTATATTTATTTCATCATAAGAGCTTGGCTGATAAATAGCTAAATTATATCTTATAAACAAATGCAAAATTTCCTATAGATATGGCGAAAGTAAAAAATGTTCGATTAATCATTTGTTGACAACTAAGTGAAAGCTATTTAAAACGCAATTACAAGTTCAACAATGTCTAATCTAATTTATCATTAAAATCTACATATATATTTCATCAAAAGAGCTTTGCTGATACATAGCTAATTCATATCTTACATTCAGGCAAAAGCAAAATTTCCTATAAATATTGTATGACGAAAGCGGCAAATTATTGTTTATTACTCATTTGTTGACGTCTAAGTGAATCATCACAAATCTAATATATATACATAAATATATATATATACATATATAATCTATACAAACTGCTTCTATCACCTGATGTACTCTTTCTGTTATTTTGATTTTGTTTCTCTGCCTTCAAGTTCAAGTAACAAAAATACATTTCGAGTCGGTTTTAAATACGTGTTGAAAAATATTTTTAATATAAAAACGGTTACATTCTTAACTTAAGGCTAATGTGTGTATGTGTGTGTTGTTTGTATGCATTTTTATTTCGGGGATAGCCGCAGCTGCATACCGAACTTTTCAGTTTTCACTTTTCACTCTTCTATGCTAGAAAATAAGAGGAGAAATTATAATGATTGATATACATACATATGTTTCTTTCTACTCGATTCAGCTATAATATGTCTATATGAATATATATATGTGTGTATATATATACGTATATATTTAAAGTCAAAGTTCTTAGAATGCATTTTTGTTGTTTTTGCTTTTTTATATATATTTTTTTGGCGAATGATGATTGTATGTATAGTTGTCTAAACTCTGAAAGAGCGACAAATCTTTTGCAATGATTGATATTAAATAAGCTTTAGATCGCTCTTCTGTTTCTTTTGAGTTTAGTTCGTGTTGATGAAGCTGTTGTTTTCCTTATATAAAAACTGTATAAAATTGATGTGTATATAGAAAAATCAGTTTGAATCCCTTTGCCTAGCCGTTAGCTTGTTGCTTACAAATTACATAGTTATGCTTATGTACTCTACTATCATTAGATGTATTTTATGGACATAATGTGCTGTAGATTATTTGTTTCTTTGTGTTGCGTTGTGTTATGTGGGCTGGAATACGTTTGGCTGGTTGTTGACACTGCTTCTTCACTCTAAATGGAACGTTTAATGTTCTGTTTCGCCTGTCGGTAAATGGTTATGATGTGCATATTGTTGTTGATTAAAACGTCGTGTTTATGTTATTTATAGTGTCTTTCAGTCAATGACCACGCGGGTGAGGAGTATTCCGCGCTTGCTCAGCCAAAGGCTATAAATAAAGGAGGAACAATTTTTTTTTGTAGTATCACTCAACACAAAATTGATTTATATAATTTACCCAAAGCCAGCGCCCAGGAGCAATGAGAGCACATTAGTGACCAGCAATGAGTACAATATTTCGCGGGAGAACAACGAGTTGGCGCCCAGACGCTTTAAGCGTATAGAGTAACCCGAGCTCTTCTTCTTCTCGTCATCATCATCGTCATTGGAGCGCTCAAATTTCCAATCTCTGCAGCAGCAGCGAATAAGAAATAAATAAAAGGCATTGAAAAACCAATATAATAATGCGAAACAACAATGTCGCTTACTTCGGTGGCTGTTCATCGGTGCCGCGGTTCCAGTTCTGCAACCAATCGCCATTATCGGTGTTTTGTTTGTCGCTATTCTGTTTCGGTTGATGCATATATAATTAGTTCAAGCTCCAAAGTGACAAGGTCAAGTTAATCTTTATCTTCTTGACTCACCTTAGTCCAATAATTGATATACACATTTCGCAGCTCGTCGTCCGGGCACAGCTCCGATTGCGGACTGTTTGGCGGACTCTTGGGGCTGTCGTGGGGCGTGTCGCGACGCGAGCTGGCCAGAGACACGACGCGACTGGACTGATTTGATTCGCGCTGCGCCTCGCGCAGCAAACGTAAATATTCCTCCCCACTGGCAAATGGCAGAGGTGTAATTCTGTCGGGACTCTTTATGCCAGCCATGGCAGCTGTTGCGCTCAATTCGATCCAAGATTCTGCAAACAAAGGACAGTCAAAGTTATTTATGAAGATGATAATGAATTCGTAATGAAAGTTGCTTAATCATCATATCAAATTTCTGCATATTCTTGCATTTAGCAGGATTTAGCTTTAACATGATTATTTAACCGTGTGTTAATTCACATTTTTATAGTAGAAGTATTAGCAGTTGAGACTCTGTTATTAGCAGCGCTTATTATTTTCAAGCAGCTGCGTATTGATGGAACTGGCTGACGCATCGTATAATAGATTTTATGTGTATAACAGAATGCCGCAGCCAGACCGGCTGCTGATTCTCTCTCTTCCTTAGCTTGTTTTGGCTTTACATTTCATTTCATAGCAGAGTCCAGCATTTAATGCTTGCTCTCTCTCTCCTTACATGGCGGCATTCACGGTTTAGCTTGCTTTCGCTTTTTAGTCTACAGTGTAACAGAGCCCGCCAAATTATGCTCTCTTCCGTTGCTAGAGTTAAAAGCATTCACTTCTTTAGCTTGTTTTGGCTCTTTATTTAGCTTCACTTTGCTACGCTAAAGTTTAACCGTGCGTGGGCAGATGTCGTGGCCCCATTTATTTTGTCTGCTTATCGGCTGTTTTTGGCGTTTCATACCACTGCGCTGCACGTTAACAGAGCTGTTAATTTTAACAGCGTAAACAAAACTACCAAAACAACCGCCTCCACTGCCTTTGTTTGTTTTGTGCAAGGTATAAATGCACGTATATATCTCTTTCTGTATGTGTGCGTTCTGTGTGTGTGGGTGTGTGTGTACGAGCGTGCGCCCCCATTGATAACGCAAACAAAACACAATTTCCGTTTCAGTGTATTACCCATGCATGTTTTTTGTTGTGTCTACTGGCTATCAACAAAAATTTCGTTTTCAACTAAAGCAGACGACGAACGGCGAACGATGATGATTGCAATTAGAGCAGCGTGCAAATTACATGATACTGTGTGACAGTACTAGTTGCTGATAATCGACATAACTGTTCTACGGTTGTCAATCAATTACGCCACGGTCTGAAAAAAAAAATCGCTCTACACTCACGTGGCAGACCAATCATCTCGATGCACGACCTGTCGAAACTATACTAAATATTCGCAGACAGACTTTCACAAAATTGCGAAAAACAAAATACCCAAAAACTAACAGGTAATTTCGTCTTCATCTGCGTCTGAGTCTTCTACAGGTAAATAAAAATCCAAACAATAACAAAGCTGACCCATAAACAGGTTCTACGGCGAAATGGTAAAGCCAGTAACAGCAATAAGGGTAGCAAAACAAAACAAACATGGCTTGCTGACTCACAGCACGTAGGCAAAGTGCCCGACGACGACTCTCTTCTTGCAGTATCTATCTCTTTCGCTTGAAGAGTGCATGTGTATGTGTGTGTGCATCATGCGCAGCTGTTAAACCCTGATCCGAGGCTGTCAAGCGTACAGCCCAATGAACCGCCTTTTGTTGACTGCTTATAGGTATTGGCGCACAGATTCGCTTACTTTTATCACATACACACACGCATTTGTGTCCGTAAATAAGCTACATACAAATATACATCATATATGCATATGTATATAACACACTCACACGTTTTTGATAATGAACCCCAAGCGACGCGTCGCAGCGAATATAGGCTAGGCTAAAGTCGCAATTTCTGGACTTTGCGAAAAACAACAAGAACAAGTGCCAAATCAAAGGCAAATGCCCTCCGACAATTGCCTTTAAACGAAATTTCGCATACAAACAAACATATACACAGAAAAAGCCGCGTGACGTCAATTTGCCAAAATAAGATAAATACAAACTACAACCGTAAATATAAAGTGCATATTGTACACGTATGTACATACAAATGTATGTGTATGTATGAATGTATGAATGGGGCGCTAATTCCGTTGCTTCCATATACCACTTCTTTGTCTGCTTTCTGTTCGATGCGAAGTTGCGAGTCTTTGTTGTTGTCATCGCCTGACAGGCGGCTGCTGCGCTGCGCAAGCGAGAGATATGTACGTGTGGCCACACACTTGTACATACATATATTCGTAAGCAAAGCAAAACAAAACAAGACTGACAATAACAAACTGGAGCCTTGAAATAGTATATGGGCAAGTGCAATGGAGATGTGGTTACAGTTATACCAACTTATACACACACACTGCCATAGAGAGACATACTGACATGAATACATACAGACACATAAACAAATCAAAAGCAACATCTATTTTTAACTGAACACAAACAATAATAACAACAACACGTCATACTAGAAGCACTGCATTGTTATTATTATTATTATTGACAAATACCAGCACACACACACACATTTGCACATTCTTTGATGTGTATGCGTGTGAGTGTGCATGTATTTGTGTAAGTGTGTGATCGCAAACTTACCACCCAGCAAATCTTCTGTCGATTTTGGTGTCGTAGACATTTTGTTTTTCTCTGTGTTTGGTATTTATAGTATGCTACGTTCGTTCAGTAGTTGAAATTCTCTTGTTGTTTTTTTCTATTTGTACTAAACACGTCGTCAAAAGATAACGTGTTTGTTATTGTTGTGGCGCACAAATAAATTTATGCAGATTAAACTAAACTTTTTGCCAGAGCGGCCCTTGTATTGCACTTATGTGTGTGTGAGTGGGTCTTCGTATTATATGTGTCGTGTCTCTTGTTAGTGTATGCGTGAGAATATGCGTTTTATTTTTTACAGTTCCTGTTCCGTCTGCACTGTTGCTTGATTGTGCTTTTAGCTAAATTTAACGGCTGTCGTCTGCTCTATGTATTACTGTTTAATTTATAATATGCTCATTCTTTTAGTTTAAGTATAATACACAATTTTTCTTTTACGCACGCTGCAAAAACCTAATGCGTAGTTCAGCTAAAGCTGCTGGATGCAGCGAAAACACAAACTGCTCGTCGAAAAACACGAAGATGACTGCCCACAAGCACAACAATAATATGCGACAAGGCGAAAACAGAAGCGAAATGCGAGGAAGAATACCGAACTTGGTACGGCGTTGCCAGACAGTTAAGAGTGTAGCCCTGTTATTGATTTTGCGCGCACAAACAAACTTTAATTACCGTGTTTTCAAAAACAAATCAAAAGTTTCTAAATCACTTTTAGCCACGTTTCTTACAAAATAAAAATTGTTGCCCTGCACAATTTCACTTGGTGAAATGTACAAGTCCTTCTGCGGATCGTATTGAGCACGTCCTAGTAGCTTTAGAAACTCGTGTCGTTCTCGCAAACGAAACTCTCGGGAGGCAAGGAGCTCGGGACATTGAATAATCTGTGCATGACTCAATCCCATATCGTTGTGCACATAGCTAAAGCGCTCGACAAGATCATCTGGCGCTGAAAAGAAAAGAAGTCATACAATTAGTTTATATATATAGGAGCGTTTATATAGGCTTTACTTACGGATCATCATTAGACGTGGTGTATGGACAATTAACGTTTGCAGCTCCTTGTTACTGAAGCCCATTTCTTCACGGAGTGTGAACACGGATTTACGTATATGTTCCATGTTGAAAGTTATCAAACGTGGCTCTTTGGTAGCCAGCAAGCGTAGATCATGGCCGCTCAGGTGAAACTCTTTTTGGAAATAACCTAAACGTCGATCAATACGTCTAGTGGAGTACATTAACCAATATGGGTTTTTGGTGAATATCCGCTGAAGGGCCTCAACTGAGAAACGTTTACTCTTCATGTAGTCAACACGCGTTTGCAAATCATCTAGATCCTCCTTGAATATCAGTGGATTTTTAGTGATCATTTTACCAAAGTCATCCGCCGATATTCCTTGGTCTGACAGAAATGTTAAGTAGGGCTTCACATTTTCCTCAAAGTCCAGTTTCAGCACAAACTGACCCAAGCCTTTGCGCCGCTCAATGCTGTGCAGATTAACGCCCAGACTAAGCAGCTGCTGCAATGTTTTCGAGTTGTTCACATGGGCAGCTAGATTAAAGGTGGGCACGTGCGCCTCCCGAATGCCAAAGTCGAGTGCAACAGCGTTGTTTTGTTTCTCATTCGGTTCGGCGAGCCTCTTTTCGGTTGGTTTATCATGCTGTGCCACATCTGATTGTTCCAGTGGCACGATAACATCACTTTGCACTCTTTTAAGTGCACGTATATGTCTTATTTGTTCACTAATTTGATAACATTTTGTTATTTTCCGAATTCTTGTTATGTTACGTACCCAAGTGCAAAGCATGGCAACAGCTGATAGAGCTGCCAGAAGTTTCAGTTCCAATACATGAAAGACAAAGTAGTGTTGAAAAATTCGCACAATTATTGTATCAGAAATATCGATACATCGCCTAATAGACCTACTCTAATCAGACATTCCGATCGTGTGTTTCTTTTGTGTTCTAACAAATTAGTTCAATAACAGAATTCAATTTAGCACATAGAATTAAATTTTTGCATAGCAGCAATTATATATATTAGATAAATAATTTGTTAAGGACCGCAATAATGGATAAGTTACGTCGTGTTCTTAGCGGCGATGACCGCACACCGGAGGAAGAAAGCAGCATCATCACCCAGGTGAAACCATACTAAGTTATTTATCAACTTTTTATAACTTACTGAATTAATTTGCCTACGCTTGTGCGTCATGCGAATTTCTGCGCTACCATCGCTGGAACCAACATGTGTTTGAATTGCATTCCATTTACGACGATCAATGACCGATCTGTGATTCAACCGCCTTATCATGAATGGATTTACTATTCAACTACAAACAGATTAATGATATGTCAACATTAAGCTGGAGCACTCGCATCAAAGCGTTTTGTGTATGTTTCGTTTTGGGCATACTATTGTCTTTTCTCGGCTCTATTGCTTTGTTTCTGCATCGTGGCATTGTCGTCTTCGCTGTATTCTATACACTGGGCAATATCATCTCGATGGCCAGGTGAGTGGCTCAATGAAATTTCGCATTTGCTGGCTAATTACTTTGCTTTGCTGCAGCACGTGCTTCCTCATGGGTCCCCTCAAGCAGATCAAGAAAATGTTTGCCGAAACCCGACTGATAGCCACCAGCATCGTCATCGTCTCACTTGTCATGACATTCGTCTCAGCTATTGTGGTAGATTATTATTTATTTTTTAGTTGTTTTCAAAAATCGTTATCGAGTTGAGATTGTTGTCTTTATTTTGCTTTTCTTTTTTTTCATTTTTTTTTTAGTTAAAAAAGGCCGGACTTACGCTTATATTCATAATCATTCAATCCCTGGCCATGACCTGGTATTCCCTCTCTTATATACCTTATGCACGAGACGCAGTTCGTAGCACCGTTTCGGCATGCTTTGAGGTTTAGTCTAGTGTTTTGTACAGTAATTTACAATTATATATAACTTTATATATAGTATGTATTTTTTTGAAAAACAATATAATTTGTATTATTATTAATATGATTTACTTATACAGCTCTTAAATGGGCGATGTTAAAAAAATGTATTAATCTAGTTTTAGAGATAGATTTCTTGTTTTCTTTTTCATTCATTCGGTTGTTTGCTTATTAACAGATTTAATATCAATTATACATACATATACACAATATAAATTTAATTTAATCAGTACAGTTTGCATAAATTGTATGTACACACAAATATTTTTTAAGAATTTTCTTTTTCTGTTCATTACTCCGTATTTTTGCTTTACTCTTCGTTACTTTAACATTTTTTGGTTTTACTAAAATGGCTTCATTTGATTTTCTTCTCTTTCACCGGCGACAAATTACCTAGAAAAACAATGGGAAGAAACAAAAAATAAAAAATGATAATTGTAAAGATTTAAAAATTGAATTGTAAAGATTTAAACAATTTTAATTTTAATATCGTAGTGCGCTGTGCCAGGTCCATCAAAGGATTTAAGTCGTGGCACACGAAGAATGCAATTCCACGGAGAGTAAAAGAAAAGTCGAAATGAGAGTGAAATGAGTTGTAGTTGCAGCTTACACAGAGAACAGAGAGCCAAATGCATCAAAATAGCAAATATAACATTCAAAACCAAGGCGAGTGCAAAGGTGCGCTAGTTAAAATATAGGCTGGACTTACCTTTCGCAGGTGTGCCTTGTGGACTGTCTCCGGCTCGTTTACTAAGACCTGACGCCGACTGTGCCTGTGCCTCAGACTTCTTCAGTTGTCGTTGCTGTGGGCAGCAGAAATTGTTGTCGATTATAATGAATATAATATTTATGGCATTTCCTCATATTGTACTCACCTGCCAGACGACGGCCACGTAGACGAACGACACCGATATTAGCACCTGCACGGTCAGCCAAATCACAATGTTGATGGCTTGCGTGCGCTCAAACAACTCCTTGCCATTCTTAATACACAGAATGGCCTCGGAGACCATAATGGCGCCGTAAACCCAACACTGGGTGCCGACGCGTTTGCAGCGCGTGTCGGTCACGTACACATAGTATTGCCTGAAAGGTGCAATTCAATTAACATATACCAATTGCATGGAACTAACTAAATTTACATACCTCACGGAGGGAGCCACAAAGAGTCCAATAAATATCAATCGTCCAATGACAATAAAATGATCTGGCGGCATCTCAAAGATGTGCTTCAAGAAGAACGTATTCAGTTCGGTGACCTGCCAGAAGATGACCAACTGCATGACGGCAGCGAAACGCATTGCTGTCGATTTGGGATCCAGCCAGCGGATGGCCGACCAACTCTCCGGCGTAAATTGCAGCATGGCACGCTTTATTTTGCCCGTAGTCGTCGATATATCCTTGATGCTGGCCCATTTGTATTCGCGCATCTCGAGTATTTGGCAGATCTTGAGACCGACCCAAATGCCAAGGCCATTGCAGATGATCACGTCCAGGATGAGCGCATCCCACCAGCATTCAATGAAGTTGGGCAGCAGATGGGCAAATGTTATCTCAGTTATCTCCCACATCACCGAGATGGCCCACAGTATGCCCATGTGACGTATAAGTATGGCCTTGAAGGCCCAGCCCAGAAAGTGGCCCCAAGCAAAGACATCCAAATGACCCTTGACACGTTCCCAGCTAACGTCCGAGCAATTGACACCATATTCCTGAAGGAAAATATAGTGTTAGTATTGCCTCAGCTGCTTAAGCGGTCTCACTACTCACCTTCTCCATGTCGATGTGAAAGTTCTTCAGCTTTGGATCGATCCAATAGAATATGCTTCGTATTGTTGGATAATTTTGGAACATGAGAAACTGCAGCATGAGCAGGTACAGCACGGAACAGCCAAACAGGATGCGCCATACCGCTGGATGGGGGCGTGTAAACGGCCCATTGGGGAATGCGATAACCGAAACAATCAGAAAGAAGAACACAATGCACATCAGGCCCGACCAAATGTTATCATCTAGATTCGCCTCGTTCCTAGAAGTGTAATTAAATTGTGTTTTTAGCTTAATGGGTTATAGCTTATAGTAGTCTTGTAATGATTTCCATTTCAGTGGCCCTAATCAGTTCCGGACTTTGACTATTTAATTATTGTTATATTTTGTACTGGGCTAAGTGACCTTTTGTTTGAAATCGAAACGATTTGGCGCCTATTGTTGATAAAAACGAGATTTGTTACGGAACCATGGGGAGGAGGGTCTTCAATGCCCACGTCGACGTCGACGTTGACGACGACGACACATTTGGCAACCGCATGTTCTACTCTGTTCAATTTCGATCTTTTCGAAGTTAGAGATGCGCACTTGAAGCACGAAAAATAACTGATAAGAACTATTGCAAGGACTGAACTTTTTGAAATTCATGAATAATTCATATTCATATGTATTAATTGATACTGTTTTTGAATATGTAAACATATGTTGATTGAGAAATAATTAAATTAAAATTTAATATATTGTATACTTAAATTGATAACTTGTATTTAGTTGCAGTTTTGTTTATCCGTTAAATTTGATGTGTATCCAACATTCTTTTCATATTCCTATTGGAGTCCATCCTTAATCAGAATGAGCTCGTGCTCATCTTAACAACTTCCCACTGTTGTGCGCCTCACGCGTTCATCTCTACATTTTAATCACAAATTTTTTTCTGTTTTGTTAATTTCGAAAGTACTTAAATAGTCAACCAAGGCTGACGGGCGCATGTCGCCAGGCGCAACAATTGCTTTTTGACGGCCCGTTGACCAAGTTAATGCGCGAATTGCTGCTGATGCTTGGTCGCGCATAGCGTGGCTGACGAAAATAGAAAGATCGATAAATGTGCACGACGGACGGACGGAGGGACGGTCGCACTAATCTCCTTTGGCTGAGCTGCACTTACCTGACGAAGGCGAAATACATGACCGCCAGCACCGAGACGGCCAGCAGTGTGATGGTGTGGGGCTTGTAAAAGAAATCCAAAGAAATGTCATCCACGGGACGTTCGTTGACAATGACAAAAGTCTGGGCGATTTCCTCCTTTCGCACTTTGCCATTGTCGTTGCGTTTAGTGGGCGTGGCTGGTGCACTGGCTGCGCCAGATATGTATTTTGTGGATGCGGCAGCTTTGTCGCCACCGGAGCTGCTCCGCTCCTCACCCTGTTGCCCATCGCCGGCGGCTGCCGTGCCGTGTGCGCTGGAACGTTTTACCATGTCTCTGCTACAGCAAGTCTTCAACAATCAGCGTAGACTACGGCTCTGATGGCGTGATTATGGTGATAATGTTGTTATGATAGCACGCGGACAGAGCAAAGGGTTGCGCAACATTCGCTCCACAGTTTATGGGATGCTCCGTTGTCCGAGCCGATTGAGTTATAGCGCTCCGGTAGCGAGCAACGCTGCTTAATGTTTATAGCAACTGTTTAATACAATTGTTAAATGTTTTATCTGATGATTTTGGCGTTGATGTTGCCCTGTTGTTAATTAATAAGCATGCTGCGCGGCGTTTAGAAGAGCACGAGAGCAAAGAAACCCAATGTGACACTTGCCGGGCAGCAACTACATGCTCTGATTTGTTGTGCCGTCACAAACAGCGTTGCCATATGTCGCAGCGTTGCCAGGTGACGGGTTTGCCATTCGTCAAGTACTCAGCTTACATATAAATCGATCTTATTTGATTTATGTATGATATAAATATCATAAAATATGTATTTAATTTATGTAGGAATTACATATTTTGCTGTCAGTTTGATTAATAATGTGTGATTAATAATTCCCTAAAACCATTTTTTCCTCGTGTCTGGTATGCAGGTCAATTGTCTTTGCAGCCCTGGGCATCAGCTGCGGCACTTGTTGTGCTCGCCTTAAATACTTAGTTT